AGAAGACCTAGATCGGCGTTCTTCGTTTGTCTGAAGACTGATCAGGTCCCCTCTTAGACGCCTTCTACGCAAAGAGAAGAGGTTTAGGTGCCAAAGCCGGTCCGTGTAGGATAGCCCTTTGGTTTTATGAACCACTCTGGTGGTAAGCTGTCGCACTTTTTCTAATCTGTCTACGTTCATTACTCGGAGGGAGCCCAAGCTCGGACGCAGTATTCTAGGTGGGGTCTTACGAGTGCCCTAAAAGGAGGAATGAATACATCGGCTTCTCCGCTGGTTATTGCAGCTCTGAGTGCAAACAGCGCTCTCCGGGCATTGTGAGCTGCTTCAGCGCATTGTTATCTGAGTTCAAAGCTGACTGAAACTGTCATCCCAAGGTCTCTGGCACATCTCTCTTGTTTCAGAATATGTGCTTCTTGATTTGGGAGCCTAAGCCGCAGGGGGATTCAGGAACATTTTTTCCTAAAACACAACATTTGGTTGCGTTCACCGGCAGATCCCACCCTACCATCCACGCTAAAAGCTTGTCTATATCGTCTTGTATTGGTTGACGACTGGAAGAGCCACCAACTGTTTTGACGTCATCTGCGTAGATGAGGCATGTGTTTGCAACCTCCTCATCAAGGTCGTTGATAAATATGGTAAAGAGGAGTGGTCCTATTATTGACTCTTGCAGCTGCAATACTATCCGCTTTCCCTTCGCTGGAAATTCTGGATCTTATTTTCATCTGGTATGTGCGTACGTAGAGTAGACTGGCTATCCGTTATATACTTGGGCTGGAACCACTGTACCCCTTAATTAATTCAATAACAGCACGTTGTTAACGGCGTAAAACGTCTTTTAGAAGTCGAGGTAGCAAACTTCGACTGTATCTCCTTTGTCTAACCGGTTTGTTAGTTCGTCTAGAAATACTAAGAGGTTAGTCAGACAGGATCGACCCTAAGGAATCCTTGTGTGCCTTCAAAAAGAACTGCACGCCTATAAGGTACTCCGCTAGCTTTTTATTTGTAATCTGCTCCATCATTTGGAAACAATGCTGGTCAAGCTAATCGATGGGTAGTGTTCTATTTTAACTTCATCCCCTTTCTTGCGGATGGGATTGTTGCTCTGCGCCAGTCGGCCGGCACTATGCCTGTTGACATCGACTGATTGAACAATGATGTTAGGGGTTCTGTGGTTACTGGTGCCAGCGGTTAAACCGCTGGGTGCAGGTTGTCTGGGCTGGCGGATTTCGTCGGGTTGAGACTGCATTATCCTCGTCTACGAAGTTGTTTACAATCGTCTNCGTCTCTACTCGGAAAATTGCCTTTGAATGCATTTGCAATACCCTGATTCGTGTCTAGGGTTGTTGACCCCAAACGCATAAGCAAATCGATGGCCTTTCGGGATCTAGCTTGCCATTGGAGGTAGCTATAGAATGTTTTTGGCCGTGTTCTAATGTCTCTTGCCAAGTTTATTTCATACTGACTTCGGGCCAATCTCGATATACTGGCCGCTTCATTT